CCCCTCCCCTCTCCAGCCCGCTCCCTGTCTTCGAGCCATAGTAAGCTTATAAATTAATGGCTCTTCAAAAGCTGCTATATTTGTTAAAACCAGATAGCTGGATAAACGGAGATCAGAATAGAAATGGAATGTTAAACTTTTTACCTCATCTTAATTACGACACTTTTTTCACAGGTTGTTTTGCTGTTAACCTTTTATATATCACGAGTGGCGCATATATTACGGATAGGTGTGGGTACAATTTGGAGGTATGCAGCCAGGATCGAAGGACTTGGCGAAACTGTGCTTAGCGTGTGAGAGCATTCCAATAGCATTACTGTTATGGGATAACCAGACTGACAGTCCGGATAATCATAGTATTTTTAGCATATATGGGTGTGCTGAAAGATCACTAAACTACTTATCCTTCCAGGAGATAAAACAAACGCCACGAACATCAGTAGACTGCAATGGTTAAAGCAACGGAAAAACTGGCAGTTGCAAAGATGGAGAACTAGACTATGAATTAAATTCTAATTCACGTATTTTATTTATATACGACGGTGGATAAGCTGCAGTGGAAAGCAGGACTGCTATCATGCAGATGATAAACCTTTCGGCCATTTTAGTGGGGCAAGCAGTCCCATCACAATCCGTTCATTCATTACGTTGGTGAACTGGTACTGGTATACGACAAATCAGTCTGTCTGCGCCGAAAAACGGAGTTATCGGTAGCCTTGCCAGCAGGTGGTTGCTGTTAGCAACTGCTATCGCTAGCGCTGTTTCCAGCGTGACACAGCCTTTTAGGGTGAACGACAAGGAGGGCAATTTGTCTTTTGATTTGGTTTTGATACATGATTGTAGTAATATTTAAACCAATGAAATATAAAATAGGGTGGGTTGCTTATACCGTAATGCGTCCAAATTAAGCAACTTGAGTGCCATGAGAATAAAGCTGCACTGAAATAAAAACACAGAACTGTGAGAAATGGGGATTTCTGAATGAAGAGATATTGAAATGCTCTGATTATGAAATAAATAGCAGCGCGCACCACGCAGCTATTACGATCATGTGTTTTGCGTGGATCTATCTCGTTGAGCTAGAAATGGGTGCCAACAACGTCCCACCTGGAATTCCTTATGTTCGCGCGTAAAGGCGCATTTGAAAGCTAAATCTGAATTTTTGAAAGAGCACATCGGCAGGAAACATTCGTTCAAAAATTCACCTTCCTAGTTTCTCTAATTGCTACGCGGAAGACTCGGACGAAAATCCGGACAAACATACACTTATGCATGTATAATCCGGACATACATACATTCCTTGCCAAACAAATCGCTTGTAGATAGGCTCCGTCTGCGTTTTATCAGCACCATTTCGTCCCCGTAATCGTACATGCCTAAATGGAGTAACTTTTGCACAGGACAAAAATCGGTACAGACGCACACACAGATAGACAGACGCACTCAGACAAGGGTTTTTTCGACAATATGCGTTTTTGCATTGCATAGATGCAGCAAAATGCCTGGAATTTTCATTATTTATAAGCGCACAATGAGAACTTTAGGCGTCTTTTGGTTTCGGCTGCTGCTGGTATTGCATCCCAGAACTGCTGGCATCACTTTCGTGATCCTGTGTGCTAGAAGAATGGACCTGCGCCTTTTCAATACTAGTACCACCATTCTGCAGAGAATTTTGTTCGCCAGAAGACTGCCCTCGCGCTTTTGGTGCAATCGGTAACGTTTCGGAACGATCGACGTCGTCAAGCGTTGGCTTTTGGCCGTTGCACTTGTTGTATTGCACTGCGCCCATCTGCGCTGGTGCAGGGGCAAAATTGCGTTTGCACACACCATTGAATCGCTGAAATGCGCAGGAAGAATTTGAAATCGAAATGTTACAACGCCGAAGCGACATTAAACTGGAACTCAATTGTTTTCAATGAAAAGAAATGAGTTAAACTGGGATGTTGAGGGATGGGCTCAGTGTAACGGCAAACAAATTTAGCTGCTCGATATTGATGTCTAGACTAACTCCACCATCTCGAGATAAGTCTTGAAAAGCTTTGGCGACACGAGATTGCCCTATCTCATGCCTAGCTCGATCGGTATACGAACCGGCTTTTTCTGGGGGCGAATTCCTGTCTATTCGTTTTCATGGCGAACCAGTTACTACTATAACTATTACTTTTACACAAATCCCAAAAATTATTTTCTCATATTTTTGCTTTTTTGAAACAAATTGCGCGGTTGCTGCAGGCATGGGCTATTGCTTGAGCTGTATCTTAGTGCATCCACCTCTCAAAGAGAACAAATTGCGGAGCTGAGCTAATTATGACAAATTAGCAAATCTGCTGGCGCTGCAGTGCAAACACAAATGTTCGCTGCTATTAACAAGGCTCCAGGAAACAATGAATAACCGGTAAGTGAACCTGGATATTTGATTCATAATAGCCAGGAAGATTTGCAGGAGAACGTCCACTGTACATTTGCTCAGGGGCACCTGTCTCTCGCAAACGGTTGTTTCTAATAGCGAAGTTGGTTTGCCACTGAAAAAAAAGTTGCAAATGGTTAGAGAGCAGAATTAAGGAGTGAACAATGGCAGAGGAGATACACTTTTGCCTTTTCGAAACAAATAATTTTTTCGAAAAATTTTGCCTTTTTTGAAAAACATTGAACATAAGCAAGAAACCTTTCAGTTTTGAAAGATTTTAATCATGAAATTAGTGCAGGATATTTTCAAGCCGGGAAGGAGCTAAAGGAGAATGTGCGAATACGAAACAGATGCATCACAGAGCGGAAAGAATAAAATATCGTCCACGGTCGTGGTCGATATGTCTTCATTCCTTTTTTTGTCGTTTGCTTACCGCACTTATCTATTACTGGTTCTTTTTGGCCAATTTTAATAGAGACCCTTACGATGAGCAATTAGTACCAGTGGTACTTGCAGAAACTGCCTGTGGTTGGTCCTCGGTGCTGCTATTGTTGTGCGCGGTTTGACTACCGAAATGAATGGAGAGAAGTTATACCGACCGTCCATCGACAAATGGAAACGTTCCGAGAGCGTTGATCGCCACAAAATTTTCCGGCGCAACTTGCGCAGCGAGACATCGTCTAATGGCTTAACACTCAAACCAGGCGTGCTGGTACCAAACCTGCCTATTGATCTGCACCATTTCATCATAATTAAAGCAATTTTAAATTGCTAAAAGTGAATACGAGTTTGCTTGGTTAACCTTCTGAGCATAAAGTTTGATGAGTTCAATGGTCAGCTCTCGGCATATTCGCGCATCAGCGTGCTCCGTGATGAATTTCAGCAGTAGCACACCATCGCATCGAAGAAAGTTATTTATGAAGCATTTCATATTCTCCTTGCCAAATGTGTCCGTCTGGATGAAAAAAAGAACAATCAGACTGGAGACGACCATAGGAATGAACCCAAGCGGGAACGCACCAGGCGGACCCGTCCGATCATGCGTTTTTGCACCGAACTTGAAGTACTCAGATCGTTAACTGCATGAATGGCTGTTGCTTTAAGTTCTTCTGGTCCACGAGTTAGTAATTTTACCTCAAAAACTTCCATACACCATTATGTGACTAACATGCACAGTTGGGGGCTGAATCTGAAACAGCTGAGTTTTGCTTGGACAAGAAACATTCCCCTAGAATTGTGCTTTTCTAGCTACAGAGTTAGCAATTCTTCCGACAAAACTTTCACATGCCCGTGCGTTGGTACTCCATGTGCCTGGGAAGCTGAATTTGAAACCTTTAAATTGCACGTGAACATCACCCTAAAATTTCAGCTCTACAGCTTTCTGGTTGCCGAGTTAAAAGTTCTTCTGCCAAATCTTTCACATGCTCGTACGTAAGAACCACGCATACCTGAGGGCTGGATTTAAAATACTTGTGTTTGGACGGGGGACATTACCCCTAAATTTCAGCCTTCTAGCTTCTCTGTTTCCCTACTTAACAATTTTCCCGCCATAACTTTCATACGCTCTTACGTGAGTACCATGCATACCTGGGGGCTGAATTTGAAATCTTTGATTAACACATGCACAGAGAACATCCCCACGAAGTATCAGCCTTACTTTATTTGGTTACCGAGATCGCTTTCCTGCCAAGAAATTTGCACTTTTTTTAAAGCGTCCGTACGCGGCACCCAGATGTCCGCAGGGGACGGTCTTAAAACGAGAGGGTCGCGCATGGTATGGACACATAATCCCAAAGTTTCAGCCTTTTAGCTTTTCTGGTTCTCGAGTTAAAAATAGGTGACAAAAAGTGCGAACATATAGACACACATACACACAGCCTCTTCCCAGTATGCGTTTTTGCAATTTGCACATATACAGAAACACATAAAAAGTGTGCAGTGAGGGCGGGCGGGGGGGGGG